AAACACAAAAAAAGAAAAGAAGAATGATTGAGAGAGAGAAAGAGAAAGAAAGAGAGAGAGTAGCGTGGGTGCGCAAGTAGAGATGGAACGTTACTAGCCGGGCGGGGACTATGGGTTCGTCCGTCCCCCTTGCATTCTCCTCTTCTCCTCTTGTTCGTCCTCGCAACTACTCCTCCTCCACCACTTCACCACTTCTTGGTCGACCACCTCACCTCTTCCACCGGTCCCTTCTCTACCATCGACTTCCCCCACCCCCCATCTACGCTATGTCCTCCTCCACCTTCTTCTTCGCTACCACCACCCCCGTTGCCCCTCCCCCTTGCCCCGTTAGCCTTCATGCTCACGCTCACATGCAACAGCAGAGAGGCAGGCAGACCGGCCGGCTGGCACTCGGGTGCCTTTAGCGCCCGTGCATCTCCGAGTCAGTCAGTCGGTCGGTCGGTCTCTCGGTCGGTTCATTCGCTAAAGCTCTTGCTTTCTCGTTGAAGAAACGAACACGCGAGTTGTGTTATTTTCTTCCCCCCTTTTTAACCCGCCTGCCCACCCCCTATCTCCCACACCCCTCCCCCTTAATTCACGTTACAACACAACGTTTTATCTTAAACGTGTAACTTTCGTTCGTGGAATTTTTTTATGTCATTTAAAACGCGATTGAGAGGTATATAAACCCGTATATATTTTGTAGGGATAAAAAGTGTGGGTTAGGGCTAAGCTTAGGGAGACGGAGGAAAGGTTTGGAAGAAGGAGGGTGGAGTTCTGGAAGCATGTGACTGGAATTTTATAGGAAGTGCATTAATTCTATTCAAATTGTGGCGCGTTTTCATTTGGTTTTCTTCTTTTTTTTTTTTTGTTTGTTTGTTCATATTGAAAAATTATTTATATTTGTGTAATTACTTAAGAGTAATATGCAGTGTTAAAAAATTATGATAATTTATATGATGAATATTTTTATGTGCGTGGATTCGTTTGATTTCAATTGATCTGTTAGTTTAATTTATTATTGTTTATTTTTGTTTTTTATTAAAATTTCTCTTTAAATCGATGATCATTTAATTAAAAGTGTTTGATAATTAAAAGCAAATTTTAATATTATTTAAATTATATATGTATACGTGAAATGCATTTATTTTATTCAACGCATAAAATGCTATATTATATTTTTTTTTTTTAATAAACATTATTCACGATCGGAAATTATTTAAAATAACAAATTTAAGAATTAATGCACTGTCTATATATATTTATATATGTATTTATAAAATAACGAAAGGAAAATTGCTATGATATATGTGTACATTCGTATTTATATAAATAATTTCATAATAATATTATTTTATTAAACTTGAAAGAAAATAAAAAGAAAGAACATTCGTGATTATCGAATCGAAAACACTATTACGATTTTCTCTTACCATTAGCTCAATAAAATTGTGTATATAAATCTACGCTTATGTGTGGGTGTGGGTTTATATGTGTATACATATATTATGTGCAATAAACGTGTATTCTCTCGATGCACTAGTCACGGTCACAGTCAGAAAGGTTTCGTGATTTAAATCGTGAAAGATATGTGTACATTTATCACGAGTGATATGTTGTTACATTCGTAACGATCGTTTGTTACACTAGTTTATTCGTTAAGAATATTAGAAATGTAATATGATAGAATAAAAGAATGATTTTAATTCGTATATATATATATATGTGAGATAAAAAGAAAACGAGATATATGTGTAGAGAATGCAAGAGACGAGAGTGCATTCTGATTGGACGTCGTGTTGTTTTTATCTAGAACGAACTTTCGCGTGACAGTGAACTGTCTTTTCTCTTTGAAGATATTTTTATTTTGATTTTGTTTTTTTTTTTTCAATTTATTTTTCTTCAATCTTCTTTCCTTATAAATTCTCTCTTTCTTTGGTGGAATTTTACAAACGTCGCGTGTACGTATATTCAAAGATAATTTGCAAGATGCTGGGACGATAAGCAATTCCAGATGATTCTCTCTTTGTAAACGTTTCACTGAAACGTTCGCTGCTGCTGTTACTACTGCTACTAATATTACTACGACATGTAGTTCTTTTCTTATATACTTCGAAATCCTTTTATGTCGTATATTCGATTTACAAAGTAAAGGAAAAAAAAAAAAGAAAACAAATCATTGAAATAATAACGAGGAGGGAGATAATTTACAGGTTCTTTGCAATCATCTGCTATTACATTTTTCTTTTTAAAGATTCATGAAAAAAATGTTCACACGCAAAAGTGTAACATCATTCAACAAAATTTTAACATAAATTCGAATTAATTCATTTTTCTTCATATTTACTTCTATAATTAATTAATTAACACGCATTACGCAAAATTGGATGATCGTTCTCGAACGATCTCGCGTTTCAATTTATTTTCGTTCATTTTTTGGGTTAACAGATGTCCTTGTTTGGGACTCATAAAACGAACAACAACAAAAACTATATGAAAAGTATAAAAAAAAGGCCGTAAAAGGGATAGAAACTTGTACGGTTACTTCCATTCGCGGCATTTTGCGACGTGCATCTTGCTACTCCTCGAATGTAGTAATGATGATGATGATGATGATTATGATGACGATGATGATGGTTATGGTGAAGTAGCAGTAGCAGGAGTAGCAACAGTAGCAGAGTAGCATTAACGTGGCGCACGTGTGTTGCGCATTCTACGATACGATTGGTTAAAATGCAAGTAACCTTCGCAGATAGTTGAGGCTCGTTGTTTAAAATCAATGCTCTCGGATGACATTCAACGTGAATCTCACGCAATGCCGTACCTTCCAATCGTATTTTCTATCTCATTTTAATTATTTCTTCTTTTATTTATATTTTTTTGCTGTAATTTCTTATTTTCTTTAAGAAAGAATTTATTAAAAAAAAAAAAAATAATAAATATTGAATTTAATCGATAGGTGATTTTACGTGTTGTGTATCGTGTATCGTGTGCGTGTGTGTTTTTTGCCTTGAAGACAATTTTTTGTTATTATTTTTTCCTACTTTTATTTTATTTTCAACATTACATTTTAAACGTGATTAAAAATAATTTTTGAGTGAACAATTTTTTCTAATTGATAAATTATTGACGTATTTGTGTTCAATGTTCAAGAAAATGCAGTTAAATAAATTGCACGTTTATTATATCTCACTTTTTACTTGAATTACTTTTTCTACGAAATAATCTTCGTCGTTTCGATCCGTCGTCATCACGAATCATAGTGGATACTATTACGATACACGATCGTACTTTCTGGAGTTACACGTTTGATAGTTCCTCGTTGACTGTCGGGAATCTTAACGACACTAGTAGTAAAGGTCTCCCTCTTATTACCGTCAGACATGTTCATTTATTTTTTCTACCCTCGTATTTGTGATGATACCACCGTTGATAGTTTCTTCGATGATTGTTAACTTAAATTTATTAATCTATTTATTTCTATCATGTTCTGTAATTTTATCATTAACGTAATTCATTAATTTATTCCAAATTTATTATGAAAAATAATGAAAATCATTAAAAATTATCTCGAAAATTATTGGAAAGAAAAAATGATCGAGAAAGAAAAAAGATTTCAACAACATAAAAAAAAATGTTTTAAATTATTGTGAATAGGGGGGTGGAGAAAAAAAATGAATCGATTAAAAATAACGGATGAAGATTAAAATAACAACTTCACAGTGAGATGAAAAATTTTCTGTACAAAATTATTGGTTGGATTTGAAAGAGGATAAATAACATTTTGAAATAAAAAAAAAAAAAATAAAATAAAATAAGATGGAAAAATTTAGAGAAAAATAAATCTTTCTTAAACATTGAAAAATAACCAAAAAATGTATGAGAGGGTGTGTAGGAAAAGAACTGGCAATCGAGACATTTCTCTCCCGCGTTGTCGTCACAAGTGAGAGAGAGAGAGAGAGAGAGAGAGAGAGAGTAAAAGAGTAAAAGAGTAAAAGAGATAAAAAGAATAGATAGCGGTGATAGAAGAGAAGAAAAGAGAGGAGAGGAGAGAGGAAAGAGGAGAAAAATATCAGGCGTGCAGTCTGGCCAGCTCGTTACCAAATTCAGTCTAGGTCGTTTCTGCGCAGTTCCCTCGAGGTCAGACAAGAACAGAGAACATTTTACGTTGTTATAGACAATATACAGTTTTCCCTTGGTTATAAAACTTACCTTTTGATACGAAAAAATACGTTTCTATCTTTCTTTTATTCTCTCTCTCTCTCTCTCTCTCTCTCTCTCTCTCTTTCTCTCTCTCTAGATGCATTTTAATATTTTTCTATATTTTTCATCACTTTCCTCATTTTATTTTATTTTACTTATTAGAAATTTCTTAGGTATACATGTTAATAATTAAAAAGACTGAGCTAAAAGTTTTCTTTTTTTTTTTGAATGGACAGACAATTTCTGTTTCACTCTGTATTCGACAACGATAAGCGTTTGTTGTGTTGGTTAGACTATTATTACGTCCACGCGCGAGATACGATGAACTTTTGTATGTGTTAGAAAATGTGTCGGACACCCGTTAGATATCGATCTGCCTTCCGCCATGGGACTACGACGACTACTGCCGAGGAGGTGGTGGTGGTTGTGGTGGTGGTGGCGGCGGCGTAGACTATGTATTAACCTTGAACTTCAACCTCGGCATTGACGGTGGTGGCACGCCAAAGACGTCCTTCCTTTTTGAAACTTTATACAATCGATTAGGATTTAAAAGTCGATTTTACATTTTATTATAACGTCATATTCATGTTAATTAAACATTTATCTTTTACAGGATGTTTCATTATATTCTGAAGTTTTATCATTATTCTTATCACAGCTGATCTTTTACCTTTTTTTTTTTTTTTTTTAATATTACGTGTAAATATTGTACATTTGAATTATTTGATATGTCGATCGTTTTTATTAATGTTATTGGTAAAATTGGGGTTTTTTTTATTTTTATTTTTATTTTTTTTTCATTTAGAATTATATCAATTTGATAATAAAACATTCGTATATAATAAATACACGGTATAATATATTTGTATATATATATATATATATATATATAAATGTGATATAACACTCTGGATTATAATTTATTTAATTGGAGTAGAAGTAATTTTGATATTATTATATATTACTTTCTTACCAACCCAATATTTTAATTAAAATTGTTATTCAAATAAATAACACTAAGTCAATATATACATATATTATTAATTGAAACACATATTAATTTTTTTATGTTGAAATAAATTCATATTTTTCTATAAAGTATTATTTATCGACCTAACATATATATCATGTTTAACTTATGATACGTATATGTAATAATATTATATATGTGACATAATTTATATCTAGGTATAATACAAAGCTGGATTATAATAGAATATATATATATATAAAATAAAATAAAAATAAAAAATAAAAAGATAGAAAGGATGATGATACAAGACTATATAGTGAAAAATGTACGGTTCATAGAACGTATTGATAAAAGTTATGCCAGCACGTGTTAACTAGTGGGAAAAGGGAAGATGAGAGTGAGAGAGATAGACGAGTTTCTTCTCCCCTTTTCCTCCCTATCACTCTCTCTTTCTCTTTCTATATGATCGTGTCAATGTATAAGAACAATGCTTATGTAACATGCGAGAGCTGGTAATTATATCGGTGCTCACGTTCGTTCACGTGTATCTTTTTTACTCTTTCCATTCTATGCACATCCGCATCGAACTACACTGTTGCACATAGCATAATACTAGTCAGTGAATACCATTCATTCCGAGAGCATACGCACTAATACACACATACACACACGTAAACGTGAATAAATACAAACGCGTGTATACACGCGTATTACTTTCAATATTTAAAACGATTATATATTCGTATTCTTGTTCTTTTTTTTTTTTTTTTTTGAGCAAGAGAAAATTATTAATTAATAAATTAAATCGACGTTTTTACGATAACATTGAAAAAAAGGGACAGTAGGGGGGAGGTGGTAAAGGGAAGAAAATTATTTTACCATTAGCATAGAGCGTTTAATACCTGTTCAAATTCTAAAGACACGTTAATTGACTTGAATAAAGCAAAAGATACAACCAAGTTCTATCTCTAAGTGCATATGTAAACTACTATCTTTTATTATTATTATTATTATTATTGATTTTTGTAGTTTCTTTTTGGAACGTTTAACCGCGATGCTTTTAAAGTACTTACATATGTATAACCAACTTACCAAGGTTAATCGCCATCTTAACGTACTTAAAGTTATTTCTTCGGAGACGTTGGGATCGCTATGAAGATTATGCTAGCAGCTTCGTTTATGCTCGTGACTAATTATGTGGGCTTGGTTGGTTCTTCAAAGCTTATTTCGAACATTTTCGCTGAAGATTTATCATAGCAATTTTCTTTTCATTTGTTTTACTTATTTTTAGAAATATCTTTTTAAGACAAACAAATTTGAACAAAAACTACGAACTCTCGTCGAATGATAATTAATTAATTATTATTATTATTATTGATACTAATCGTATTAAGAAACGAACCAAAGAGATTATAGAACAGTGCCGTTTAATGATCCGTATACCAAATTGATACCAAAATAATATAGTGACAAATTTACGTGAGTGTGAGATGGTGTCGAAGAAATTAAACGTGTTTTGACAAAGTAAGAAAAATCAAATCAAAACAAACAATTTAAACAAGCAAATAAAAAGATATGGAAATTGAATGACTGTTGATATCGTTTAAAAATAAAAAATAAAAGTGTTGTTGTTGTTGAGTTTGCGAGAGGGTGTACGTGTGTGTGTATGTGTTTGTAAGTGAGAGAGTGTACAAAGAAAAACGTGAGAAAAAAAGCATCAAGATGATGAAAAAGGAGAAACCTATGATGTCCGTGACGGCCATTATCCAGGGAACGCAAGCTCAACATTGGGCTCGTGGTAATACCTGTACGTACAATTACATTATTACAATGGTTTTTATTGTCTTTTTCTTTGGAAAAAAAGTTAATCCTCAAAATTGACAAATTTGTGTGCCAATTAAGTTTATTTGATTTAAGTTTATCTTTATTGATTAAAAATTACACGAATTTTCTTGATTGTTTGATATTATTTTAAGAATACGTTATACATATTTTATTGTGTCAGATAAACAAGAAAGTTCATGCCGTTTTAATCAATGAAGATAAATGACAGATAACACTCCACAAGAATTTTCTTCATTATTTAAATTTAAATAATTCAATCGAGTAACAAGTGATTTGAAAATATTCAACATTTGATAGCATATTAAATAATACTAATATAATAAATAAAAATAAAAAATTAAATGAGATATATTTTGTTTGAATTTCAAATAAAACGATAATTAATATATTTATGGTAATGATTAATTTTTAATATTGAATATGTTCCGTATGAATTATAAATCCTTCAAAAATATTTTCTTGTTTTACAAACGATGCAATGTTAAACTTTAAAAGTAACAACACACATTTGTTCGTACAAAACATTCGTACTAATTCGAGTATAAGTTTGAGTTAATGAGTACATAATACCTCGAAGGTGAACTCGAATCGCGAATACTCGCAAATAATAATAATTAACACCTTTTTTAATACGAGACAAACGATTAGCGGAATTCCCAAGGTTCTTCTCATAGTACATGTTTCTCACCTCGTTTAGTTTACTCATGCTTATCTACATATATGCAACGTTTATATATATATGATAAATATACATACAGGGTGTTCAAAATTTATATATACTTTTTTCACCTATTTCAACTCAATAAATACGTAGTATAAGTTTAGTTCCAATCTTTTGAGACACTTTGTATATGTACGACAGTAAAGAAAAGAAAAAAATAGAAAGAACAAGAGAAAAGAAAATAATATTTCCATGCTAATGACTTCCTGGTAGATTGCTATTAACAATAAGAAAGATTTTTCTGAATATATAAGTAGATGAAATCACGAGTTCAATCATTTTAATTATCCTTTCTTCTATCCTTTTAATTTAACGAGAAAATCGAAAGGTTTTTATTTCTGTTTATTGTGTCAGACACGTAATATTGCAAACGTGTATTTGTATTCTTTATACGATGACACCTCATTTCAAAATGACTCACCGAATCGTTTCTGCGGGTCTACTGATAACAGACAATGTGTTTGTTTATTTACAGGGCAAGGCACTTTTTAATGTCCAGATATATATATATATATTCAATAACTTCGAATTTATTCTTCATATGAAACATTGCACTCGAGTATAATGTTTCTTTTTATACTGATATGTATTACTCAATATATTTCATTTAATAAATCAATCATTCGATAATATTTGTACATATACGATTACAAAATCATTTCAAAAGGTATACGTCGAATAAATTATTTATTTAATATTAAAATAATTGGTATTAATAATTATATATAATGAAATAAATTATTTCAATTTTATCGATTCAATTTGCTTCACTTTTGTATTTTTTAACACACATATGTATATACGTCTATGTATCTGTATATGAAAATCAATTATTGAAACACGGAACGATACAATTTATGAATAATAGTTACAATACTATTTATCTACTTTTAATTTAATGCAAACTTTAAAAATAACAATAACAGTAAAAGTAACTGCAATAAAAAAAAAAAGAATATTACTTTTTCTCATTCTTAGACGAATTCTTGGTTGCGTCGGTAAAACCAAGGTCACGTTAATGCGCCTCCTTATCTGCACCCAAGCAAGCTACGATTTATGAGCCTTTTCGTACCTTATCTCGCACCTATATTGCTTTACAACACGCGCGTCAACTCCGTGACTCCTTTTTACGATGATAAAGTTACTTACTCAATTTTTTTCTTTTTTATTTTTGTACTTCTCGTACCTTTTTTTTCTTTTTCCGTCTTTCTCTTCCTTTATTTACATGTTTTGTAATATTCTAATGTTGTGTAGGAAATTTCAGGGCTTAATTAAAAATCTTTTAAATGAATCTAATCAAGTAAAGTGTTATAAAAAAAATTATTACTATCGTACGGTTATTAATTAAAGAATTTTATTATATATATATATATTAACAAGTGTTGTATATAATATTTTTTAGTATATATATATAAAGAATTAATTAAATATTATTTACGATAATAATGATATTGATATTGAAATGATATGAAACAATATATTATTCTCCTATCTCTGTCGCTTTAATGAATATAATTAACAAACAAACGTAGTACGGTAATATTGTAAATTTTATTTTATTATATATAAATTCTTTCGAATGTATTTGTAAAGAATTTATAAAACGATATTTATAAAGCGAATTTATATTTTAATTTATGAAATAATATCAATCCTATCTCTTAGTTTGATAAAAAAAAAAAAAAAAAAAAAAAATTAAAAAAAAAATGTATATAAACGATCTCAAATTTAATTCGATCGATCGAACTGTCTAATAAATAAATGATATTACGCAAAAGTTTGCATTTATATTAACATTACATTATAAAAAAAAAAATTATAAAATTACTTTTAATACATACGCGTGTTTAAGATCAAATATACACATATATCTTCTTCAGCATTAATAACAATAATAAAAAATAAAAAATAAAAAATATAATTATGATCATAAACGTTGTACTTATAATCGTTCGTGATAGTCTTGTGAAAGTTAAAATTATCGCGTAACATTATCAACGTGTTACAATCGATCATTCTCATTTGACGTTTATATATTTTTAACGGTTATTCATTGTCATATATGTTATACCTATATGTTAGATACTATACATGTTGTACGTCATGAAAGACTAAAGAAAGATGAATGTTCTTTCGCGTCATCTCGATCGTCAACGATAAAAACGATGTTGATCGTTTCGAAGAACAAACTTATCGATCCTTTTTACATACACACATACAGAGATGCACACCTTTAGTTAAATTACGTCTGTTCATCGATCCATGTGACGATAGAGGTGACAGTGACGCTTAGTCGCTTATATTAGTGTCATTATCGTATCTTGTTTCCTTTTTATTCATAAAAAAAAAACTTGTTAAAGGATTATATATTATATGTCATATTATACTTTACTATTATATATATATATTAATTAAATTATATTATTATTTATATATAAATAATTAATAATTGTATAAATATTAAATTACGTATAAATATTAATAATTAAAGAAAAAAATATATATATATATATTTATATGTATATATAATATTTATTATATTTAATATATATTAATATTTATATATATATAAAGGTTTTTTTTTCTTTAATTTTAATTTCATTACTATAATTATTATATTGTGTGCTAGATATTTTGGCAATTTAAAAATAATTTCTATATGAACTATATACTGTAATGTGATTATTCATAAGAAAAAAATTAACATTTTTTCAAGAATTTGATCAGTGTCGATGCTTTGAAAAAAAAAAAAAAAACTTAATTAAAATCAATACAAAAAATAAAGAAAAATAAATTCTATTGCAATTTTGCAATAAATTTTTGATACTTTGAAAACGATCTATACGATCTAAGAATATTATTTAAAAAGAAAGAAAAAAAGATTGAACATTATTCATAAATTTTTCCCCTTTCTCTATCATTTTTATTCCCCAATTTTCTTACTTTATATAACACCTTATCCTTAAATTATTATTACCTTGAATACGATCTACAATGAGAAAGATAAAGAGAGAAAGAGAGTAAAAGTGAGATAGAAAGAATTAATGAGAATTCGTTTGTAAAGAATGAGTGAGATAATGAATGCGATTCATCCTTTATACAAATTGTTCTCTAGTAACACTATTCGTTTATATTAGTCTAGACTCTAGACCGTAATAGACACACGCAACAAACCACAACACTTAAATATATACGTACACATCTATGAAGAAACTGCACCACACCTACGTAAAAAAGAAACGATTCGCGTATCTGTTTGTACTCTTCTTCTTCTTCTTCTATCTCTTTCTCTCTCTTTTCCCATATACATACACATACATACATAAATATCTAACACTTTTATTAGTATGCGTATGTATATATATGTGGGTGTGGGTATGTTTAAAAATACACATATATATATATATATATATATATATATGTGGATGTTGGTTTATACTGTGTCTGTGCTTTGTCCAATGAAATCGTTCGAGCTCAACCTTGGCACCAATGTGAACAAGCCGTGAAGTGTTTCACATATATACTTCTCTCTCTCTCTCTCTCTCTATACATATATATGCACACATTATGTTACTTGTTCACTACAATGTAAGATGCGTTTTATGTGTATGTATATCTTGTGTGTATGACGACATGACGATGCCTTGTACTGAATTACATTCGACACGTTCAATCTTTCTTTACGTAGCCACCACCCCCTCCTTTTCTAACACACACCTAACTCTTCTTCTATACTTCTCTCTCTCTCTCTCTTTTTTTTTTCTATCTTTTTAACTTTCGTTGTGCGACAGGAATGACGTTCGTTATGTGTTATCTCCCCTTGTTGCTTGTCATACACAAACATAGGGGGAGAAAGAAGAGCAGAGAGAAAATGATGAAATTATGGAAAACGAGTTTAACATTGAAGGTGTAATATCTGTATGTGATACATGTATTTAAAAAAATAAATGATTCAAATAATCCTAAATTGAGATTTCATATTTTCTAATTATTTAAGAATGATTTTTAAATAACAGAAATAAATACAAAATCAAATTTATAAATTATTTTTATTATATATATTATCTGTTATAGTTTTTCAATGCATAATCTTTTTACAAATATATCAATACATTTACAAAAATTGATACTTGCATATATGAATATATGTGTGTATGGTGTGAATGTTAGAGAATATAAAAGTCAACACTTACGAAGTTTTATAGGAAATGATATTTTATTATAGTCACGTTGATAGAGGA